TCAACCATGTGCAGCTCTTCTCTGACAGACTGAAGTGTGTTGCGTTTTGCTCTCAGCGAAATTCTGATTTCAGTGTAAAAACATGAATATTCATGTGGATTCCCGTGCGTATAAGAGCCATTGTTTAAACGATGGGTTGTAAGAACCTTGTGTTAATCACAATGCTGTAATGAGAAACTCGTGAAGGGAAGTGTTTTCGGTTCAGATCGAGAAAATGTGGTTCTTGCTTTAGGAGCGGTGGCGTCAACTCGGTTCATCAGAATCTGTTGCGTTGCCTTTATGGGAAGAAGCATGTCTGCCATAATGGTTCATGACATTTGATCACTCCATGGTGTTCGTTCCTCTAATTTACTGTATGTGACGAGGAAGACTTCTTTTATCAGCATGTTTCCTTCCTCTGTACTATGCGAGGGGGGTTGGGAGACATTTCTGTGCTTTCACATAACGGTTTTTATTATTTGCGTAGCTTAATTGGTGTCACATTTTCAGGTGGAAGTGCTGAAGTTTTCTTGTAATTTGCTCCAGTGGCTCCTAACTTCCTGTATGTCTCTAAATTAAATTAAAGCTCATCGCGCAATCCTGTCTTTCCTCCTCTTTTTGTTAAACTGAGAAGTAATAACACGGATTATATCACATTTTTCTAGTACATTGTCTGTTTCAGGTAAAATGACTGGAAACACTTTATATCTGGACCTGTAATAAACGCCTGTAAATACCTCAAACACATCTGTGCTACTTCTTTAAACGTTACACTTTCAAAGAACTCACACAACTTTATTGCGCACTCGTGCAACAATAAACCTTCACAAAAGTTTTTTTTTTATAAGGATACAAAATTCCAGACACGTGTTGGTGATAGTGAAGTTGACGATGATCTCTAATTAGGTTCCTTAGTTTTAAAACCGGAGACACTTTAAAGGAACAGAAGCCATTGTACACTGTTGAGAAAAGCCACCAATGATCAAAATTCATGTTAATTTGTTACACGTGAAATATGATTTAAATATCGCGACCTTTACACCAAAACTAAGGGATAAGACAGTAAAAGATGGTGCTGTTCAAAAAGCAAATGTAAAATTTTGAAGATTAATTCATCTATTTGTTAACTTTTGTCCAGGACTGGATCACAGAGATGCTTATACCTCCTTTTGTTGGCTAACTGTTCCTAAGATGTACTCGAGCTCTAATTTCACCAACAAGTTTTAAAGCCTGCTCCCAGTGGAAAATGTCTGAAAAATCTCCTCAAGAAGCCATCTTTACGAGATGCCCAAACCACTTCTGCTACTGTAGCTTCTGCTGCAGAGGAGCTGTGACTTCACTCAAACATTTCTGCTACTTGTGCTTAAGTTCCCTTTCTTTTGGTTACTGCTCTTAGCTCACAGCTGAAGGTTTGAACATAGATTGGCTTCAGTCGACACCATCACCTTTCAAAGCAGGTCTCTCTTCACCGAACAGACCGGTACAACGTTTACATCACAGCAGATGCTGCCCCGATCTGCTTATCGGTCACTACCCCACTTGTGAGCAACCGCAGAGAACGGCACTAGAGGTGGTAGCTCATTGCCAACCCAGTATCCTTCTTTTCCTTGGCTGAGGACTGTTTTAAATGTGTATGCCTTTTCCACACATTATAAACTGCTGTAGTACCGGCTCAAGGTCCCTGCTTGATGAGGCACTCTACCACCTAGAAGAGATGATTGTGACATATAGCAGTTAGTGCAAACCACTCTCTCATTCCAGTGGGAAAGGGCCCAACATAGCTCTTAGTTGAGGGCTCATACCCCATCCCCCTAATTTCACTCTATACGAGACACAGTCACAAGCCTTCTTCAGGTCTTCTAAACCCATTGACTGGGTAGACAAACTTTATTGTACTCTCAATCAAGGGTAAAGAGCTAGTCTAGTGTTCCACAACCAGGTTGGATACTGCATTATGCCTGAATCAGAGATTTCACTATTAGGGGGCGTAAAACCTACACTGTAGCTGGAACACACAGTCTGGTCCCCCTTTATAAAAACAAGGACCTCCAACCCCCCCACCAACTGTTGCACAGGAGTGTCAACCAAGATAGTCCACAACATCTAGGGCCACGAGGGCCTCAGCGCAAATATTTTTCCACCCCATAGACTTGGGGAGTATTTTGAGTACCTCAATGACTTCTGTACCAAGAATGAAGACCACCACCTCAGACCCATGACCATTCCAAAAGATCAACAAATACACCCTTACACACCCTTACAATGCACAATCTCTTACAACACCTACAGCGGGATCCAGAAGAGGTTGATCCCATGCGGTAAAACCTTATTTGGTTCATCCACCAGGTCAGATCAACAGATACTGATGAACTTTTGCACCAGGCTTGACTCCAGGTCCAAGTTGCTGTCAGACAGTTTTGTCTCTTTTGAATTAAAATTGTACATTTTTATCCTATTTGTACTTAAAAAAGGAACAATGCTAGATGACAGGAAAGTTGTAGTTTATGCTTTAAATAGTCGGATCTGTTTTACGTTAAAGTTAGGTGACGAACCAGATTAAGCTGAATCCAGATTATAACTAACTTGATTTTTGTGATCTGTTTGAGAGTCCAGCATAAAATGTCGGGTTCAGGTTTGACGACAACAACATGCTAATGTTGCTTGTGTGTACATACGGTGAGGAAATGCAAAGGTAAAGCAATCCTTGACCTTTCACCACCCACACAACCCCGACTTGTGACACGAAGCCGGTCATGTTACAGAATCAACAAAGGGAAAAGCTGGGTGGGCTCACAGACCTCGTTTTTGTTCCATAAATAGTTCATGCATTGACATTTAAAAAAAGGAAGCTGACAGCTTGTTAAACGTGATGGGGAGAGCACCTGTGTCAAATTGTAGGTGTTGGACCTCAAACAGCATCAACACCATGACTCACCTGCTACACGGGGCCGTGCTGCTGGGGAGCCTGGGCATGTGGATCACAGCACAAGGTAACGTTAAATCCACGAGCTGTTAAAGATCTTCAGTTTGGAAGGTTGTGAGATGATTAGAGATGTAGACATAAAATGACCAAACGTAACGTCCTTCAATAATTGCTCCTCATCCAGATAAGAGTTGTGATAATTGTGCTGCTCGAGGAGTGGCTGTTAAGATAAAATCTGTATTTTCTATAGTATTCTATTAAAATAGATTTGTTGCACCTGCTTATCTCTGTTATATATATATATATATATATATATATATATATATATATATATATATATATATATATATATATACACTGTATA